CGTCCATACAATACCAAGTATTGATTATTATTATTTCTCACAAAATATTATTATTATAAATGCTTTGATAGTGAATGTTGTTGTGAATTTAGAATAAGGCTCAACTACTATACTTGTGATTCATGTGATATACTAGTATGTTGTTGGTGCATTGAATTCCACAATCCCAATCATAAGAGATACATTCATACATTTTTCGTCCACAACGACGATTCGATCAACTCTCTGACCCAATCATTCATATGATCATGAGAATAAATAAATATTTTCTAAATAATTCGAGCAATTTTGATGACTAAATTCATGGCTTTTTATGGGCGCTCTCTTATTGTACGGATTTCTTGGAACTCTTCACTATCTTTTTATCTTTCATTTCCCATATTCCTAATTAAAAGTATATATACAATTAGACCAAATCAATTAGCTCATTCTTCTCTTTGTCCACAAAATCGTACACTTGCTACAAATAATGTTCGAAGGACTTGTTTTGAAATATTAAGCAATACAAAGTTTTACCTAGGGTTTTAGAAAAAAATTGAGAGTGACATGTTACACACTAACATATAAACGATAAAGAAGGATATTAAGTTATTAAATTAAGGGATAATGGAAGACTTAATTATTAGTGAATAAAAAAAGAGTGAAAAAGCGTCCAAATTATTCTTTTTTCATAGAAAAATATTTTAATGAGCTGGTCTATGGACTGGCTTAGCATTGACGTACTTTTTGCTAAACAACATTGACGTACTTGTAGACTCAATGTAAGCAGGGTGGAATTATTATCCGGGATCTGAGATCTGATCCGTTATCCGTTCGGAATTGCTCCAAAAATTAGGATATCCGGAGAGTCCGAATCCGAATAAAGATAGTAAAATCTAGGATCCGTGAAAAGAGGATCCGGATCCGGATAGCAAAATTTTAAGGTCCGGATATCCGGATCCAGAATCGGACGCATTAAATATATTAAAAATATATATATTATATATCTATTAAACTAATTTTATATAAATATATATATATATATATAAATTGATTTTAGTTCTTTTTATAATAAATTATATTTATAATGAAAAATACGATTAAAATATTAACTAATAATTTTTAAAAATATATTTTTATTTATTTATTCATTATTTTAATTATTTTTTAATCTAAATTTCGGATACGAATCCGGATCCGGATATCCGCCGGATATCTAGAGTCCGGATATCCGAAGGTCACGGATCGGACCCGGATAGTTTTTCCACGGATCCGGATACTTTCAAATTCCAAGATATTCGGAATCGTTCCACCCCTAAATGTAAGGACTAATCATTTCACAATATAAAATATTGGATGCTAATTATTACTTTCATGTCTTAATTAATCAAGGTTCATATTCGTTATTAAAAATAAAATAAAAAATGTTGTAACACGTACTATTAAACTATCAAGGCTTGAAGTCCCAAATTAAGACTAAGATATTCGAAAATCACATACGTCACTGCCTACTTAATTATTCGTTCGCTTCATAACAAATTTATATCATTCCTACCAGAACCAGTTTTATATGATAAATTCTCATCGTATAATTGCAATGCAAGGCTGTGTCCTATGCTTTTTTTTTTTTTAACTTAGTTTATTATATTGTAGATTATCTATACCTTTTTGCCTCTTTTGTTTTCATTCTATAAACCCATGAGCTAACCAAATCTAGTGTTACGCAAGTTTCTATAATCATAAAGATTATATAAATAATTATGATATTTTCTGCCAAAACCTTCTTGATCTTATTAATAGTACCCACATATTATCTGTCAAATATTCAAATACCGTTGGCATAATAGTTAGAATATACGTATTATTTTCCCTGACCATGGTTAGAGCATGTACATTGGTATAGTCTCTCACAAGAGTTTTTCATCTAAAAAAC